TTCAACCACAGTAGGAGGTTAAAACAAATTTTGTTTAATTTTTCTATGTTTAGAAACTTGTGGGCCTGCACTTGTTTTCTCGTATAAGCTCTGCAAATGTTAGTGATGGGTCTTTCACCCTCCTGTCTCCCTCCTAAACTCTTCATTTTCTAATGTACTGCACAACAACACATGCACATGTGCATACACATACTCTTCTTAAGTTCTGATACCCACTTCTACCATGTTATTCCACTGGGAACAGCTCTCAGAATTGTTTGCAGTCATTGACCCCTTTGCTCTGCTTTCATAACTCCCTTGAGCTTGTGACATGGGACCCTCCACCTCTTGTCTCCTCATTTCTCCAGCTACTGAAGGTGACTTTGTCCAGGTTCCTGCCTGGCCCTTCTTCCTCCCCGGGTGATCCTGCCCATCCCTATCCCAGCTCCAGAGCTCTGGCACCTGGTTTTGCCTGGATTTCCTTCCTAGCTGACTACCGAGCTTTCCCACCAAGGGCTCACTGGGGGCTAAGGTTTTTACCCATGGGTGTGCCCCACTTAGGTAACCATGCTGCCTTCTTCCTGGGCAGCTCCCAGCCTCCCCTACCACCTGGGCTTCCCCCATTCTCCAGGCTCAACATCTGCCAGCCACAGTGTCCCCTCAGTGTCCTTCCCATGGGCTGGGGTCAGGGTGAGAAAGAGGAGGCCGAGTTGGGCCAGTGAAGGGCAGCATCATGTCTTTATTTGAAATGTTGGTATTTTGTTCATCATGGATTTTTTTGACAGTAATTTCTTAAAATATTGCACAAAAACATGATTCTTTTGGTACTGAGTTTTGGGGGTTCCCTTGAATCACTTATGCCTGAGATGAGTGCCTTGTTCACTTCAGCCTAGCTCTTCTCTGCCTTTCCAAGCACCCCTTCCTATCCATTTCTTCCATGGCCCCTTGTTCAGGACTTCTTAAAGTCAGGTGGCAGCCTAAGTGCCTGCTCAGATTCATGCTGCCCCTGGACCCAGTGTGAGCTTCCTTACTTGTGTGCTGAGTTGTGACAGTCCTACCCTCAGAGTCCTCCAGAGCCCCCTGCCTCCTGTAGAGTCCAAAGCCTTGCGCGCTCACTGGCCTCATCATCATTGGCTCCCTTGTCAGGCTCTGCTAACCTTTCCGGCCTCATTCCAAGCCAAATCCCTCAGCCCAGGGCTGGTCTACGCCTGCGTCCCCAGAGAAGCCAGAGCCCCTGCCATGCTGCCCCATGCTGCCCTTCCTCTCCTGGGGCCTCTTCCCTCGCTTCTCCTCAGCATGGAGTCTGTTTGGGCCTTCAAGGATCAGTTTTGACAACACTGCTCAGTGTCCCAAGTGGCACCTGCCACCCTCCAGCTTTCTGACTTCGCCTCAATTTCAGAGCCCATGCACTCTGACTTCTGCCTTCCTTACGAGAGGAGCCTTCTTCCCCAGGCCCAGGCTGTGTGGGCAGCACTGCCAAGCCGCTCACTGGTGCGTCTTCATCCTCCAGCTCAAGTCTGTGCTCCGACAGGCATCTGGTGTTCTCCCTCATGCTCCCTGCAGTGGATCTTCCCCTCTGCCTGATGATGCCCCAGACGTGGCTTGAAAACAGAGCCCTGCTCTGGACTGACCCCCATCTCATGGGACAGTGCACGTGGAACCCCACAGAAGGGGCTGCAAGAGGGACTTGCCCAGGAATCTTCCACAGGGCATGACGACACCTTCTGTTGAAAGCCTCTCTTCCCCGGAGGTCCTCCTCAGGAAGCCAGGTGGGGACTTGTCCCTTAGGGACACGCTAGGAGCCGGTGAGCGGGGACAGCAGGGTGGAGGGACAACATGGCGCGACAGCAAGGGAAGGGAGGGGCCTTCCTAACACTCACAACCAAGCCTCACTTGAGATTCATTTCAGGATGTTTCAGTTTCTGTTACATCTGAAAATCATGTGAGTTAACAGCCAGCTTCCCTACCCCCTCCCCTGCGATTCAAGCCACCACCTCCCAAGTTTATGGCTACCTCCTGACACCTGAGTGTGAGCAGCTCTCTCCAGCACAGAAAAGGGAGATAGAAGAGGCAGTGTTCAGTTGCTACTGCTCTGTGTTTGGGAGACCTTTACAGACACCCACAAATAGGTAAGTGGTATAGGTTATTCTGTCATTATTAGCTTTCTGCATCCATTTTCTGAGTCTTGACACCTGAAGGTAGGAGATGCAAACCTTGGTGATGCATCTCCTGTGTCAGGAACTGCCAGTTCTTCCCCACATGCTACTGAGTCATTTTACCTTCCTACCAACCCTGAAGGGTGAGTGGATTTGTTTCCTAGGGCTCCTGTAAACAGCATCACTGTCACCACACTTGGGGGGTAAACAGCAGGGATTTATTCCCTCACAGGCTGGAGGCTAGAAGTCTGAAATTGAGGCGTCAGCATGGTTGGTTCCTTCTGGAGGATCTGAGGGAGGATAGGTTCCTAGCTTCTCTCCTGCCTTCTCCTGGTGGCCAGCAGCCCTTGGTGTTTCTTGACTTGTAGATGTGTCACACCAGTCTCTGCCTCTTCACATGGCCTATGCCCTGGTATTTCTGCGTCTGTATCTCTGTCCAACTTTCCCTCTTCTTAGAAGAGCACCAGTCATTGGATCAGGGTCCACCCTAATCCAGCATGACCTCATTTAATTTCATTTCACCTTCAATTATTCTATTTCCAAATAATGTCACACTTGCAGGTACCTGGAATTAGAACTTCAACATATCTTTTTGGGAGACACAATTCAACCCACAACAGTAGGTATTGTTCTAAAGGTCATATTAAACTGAGACTCAGGAGTAACTTATCTACAGATGTAGCAAATAGATGGAATAACTGTTTTTAATTTTCTAGGTCTAATAATTAGCATTCATTGCTTGTACAGGCCCTCTGATGGGTGCTTCATTTTCAATCATCATATCAACAGCATATAGCTATTATCACCCATTTTACAAAAGGAGGCTCAGACAATTTAAGTAGCTTGCTCAGAGAGACACAGGAAGGAAGTGGGAGATGTGGGAACCAGTTCACTAATTCCCATGCAAATCAACACACCAGAACATCTTTGGGATGGCTCACCCCTCCTTGCTCCCCTTCTCCTGGTTTAACTCCCTACCTGCAGCTGAGGCCTACAGCTGTGAAGGACATGTTACTGGAATTTTCCAAGCAAACAGTGCAAGGGCAGAAAATTAATCCTGGGGATCACAGCACTGCAACTCGATGCCTCCCAGTGGGTGATGGTCTGATGAAAAAGACCCAAGTCTTCATTTTCCTTCTGGCAGCTAAGAAGGAGTTGCATGGTAAAAGCAGGCAAGGAGTAAATCCCTTTAAACAGCAATGTATGTCACAACTAATTACTTCCCAACAGGGTGCTGCACATGTGATGAGGCCACTTCTCTGTTCTAAGAGGCACCACAGAGGGAAAGAGCCTCTATTACCAGGGTGAGGAGGAACCACATCCCAGCTAAACACACAGTGGTCATTTTAACTGCCTCACTCTTCCTCAGAATAAAAAGTCAAAAGCATCACTTTCTGACAGTTGCTGTGTACTCTTCTCCAACATCAAAGATGTGTCACACACACACACACACACACACACACACACACACTCACACACACACTCACCAGTGCCTTACAAACACAATACCCTGACACACAGCCCTTCAAGCAATAAGCCACAGCA